CATTGACTTCTAGAAATATCCTGTTCCTTCATGAATGCTCTAGCATTTACTAGATATGCGGTAGTCTTGTATATATAAGACGGTCACAACGTGACGGCAACAAGGGAATGTATTGTGTAATTGAACTGCGGACAGAGTATTGTTGAATCGAGCACGTGAGACGTTCGTTGTGAATTATAGCGTTTGTTATAGCGCGACTGTTGAAATTAAGTGTATCGCAAAGTTGTATTCAGAAGGAGTAGGCCAGTTTTATTTAAGAAAGGACTTGTATCGGTAAAGTTTCTTCGGAAAGAATTTTTACGGAAAATTAACTAATGATCAGAGACGTAACAATATCATATGTGAAACGTTTCATGCTATAATAGTGTGTGGCACGTGAGTGAAAGTTTTATTTAGTCACTGATACTTCATACTGCCCATAAATAGTAGTTGACAAAAGTACATTTTTTACCTGCTAAAATGTATTCTTCTTGTTCAAATCAACAAATTTTTGATTTCTATTTCCTGTTCAATCCCAGTTCTACCAAATTCATGAAATGTAGATTTACTACACAAAAATTTGTTAAAATTCTGTCATATTTTACTGAACTATACTAATAACTCCACTTACATATGTTTATAACTTTAATAGCATTGCAAAAGATTTTCAAAATTCAAGGACTGTTCCATATCTTTTGGAAATAAAATTTAAAAATTTAATGACTTTTCATGACCATATGAACCTTATGAAGTTAGAAGACTAACAAATTAGTTCATGAAATAGGTGGTGCTAAATCATATTAGAGTTAATAGGGTAAAAAACAACAACAACAAAAAACTAGACAAAATCAAACAGTTAAATATAATTATAGTAGAGTAATGAAGGGAAAATTAAATGGCTTAAAAGAAAGGACCATACAAGTTCAGATGTAAACATCATTGAGTGATAATAGAAAGCATTTTCAAAGGGAGAATGTGACAAAAAAGTGTAGTATCTATAGGAACTTTATGACCTTTTCTATTTATTACTGTTACACTAAAAAAATGTCATGAAAAGCTCACTGTAAAACACCTATGAATACTGTTTTAATAGAGGTACATGACAGTAACATGTAATTAGTATAAAGCTGTTAGAACATAAACGAGTTTACTTGTTTTTGGCGATGTGCCGTTCTGTTGGTAAATCTATGATGGTACACTAATCCTAGTATATATTTCTTAAACAAAACCTGCATAAGCTATAAAAAGCTTCAAAATAAAAAAATAAAGGTTGTTGGAATTAGATTTATTGATTACCTGCTTACTATAGGTTCTTACTATAAGAGCATAGTGATTTCCACACTTTTCTACTCTGAGCCTTCTATTTGAGAATATAGGCCAGTAGTCTGCTACTGGCCACCTTAAAATTTTAATTGTCAAAGGGTTCACTTTATTTCCAAGATATTCTATAGGCTTTCCAAGATATTCTGTGCTTTGCTTTTGGCAATACTGCACCTTATTCAGGAAGGTGCACCCCATAAGTTGGGAAACAATACTCTAGCATTAATATTCAATACTTAAATCAACTATGAACAATAGAGAAAACAAGAGCAATCAGAGAGATTGGATACCCTCACCCTGCCTCTCCTTTTCGAGATTGCATGCATTTATATTGGATAACGTCAAATTTCCCCTTCGAAAACTCAGAACATCCTTCTCAAATTTAGAATGATCAATGATCTGGATCATTTTTTGTAGTGTCATTAGGAGTCTCAATCTTAATGTGCCCATGAAATTTGGTATAAATCTAATCACACTTTACAGAGTTATTAATCCCAAACCGCAAAAGTGTCCTATTTCCCCATCATAAAAAATGGTTCAAAGTGATACAGAATCCATATTTGGGAAGGACTTTTCCATACTGACTTCTCATCTTGTGTTAAACTTTTGTGTATATTGGTCTATTAGTTTTAGAGATACGTGCACAGAAACACAGACAGGCAAACACATACACACGGACCCGATTGCAATACCGTCCTTCCCTCTAGGAGCGAAGGCAAAAGTTACTCACCTGAAGCCTGCCATCTAAAGAACGAGGTATAGTGACACAATTACTTGGCTGTCCAGGACAACTTAATGCTTTTTCTAGTTCTTCAATGGCACCTTTCTTTTTTTTGAGTTTCTTGACTAATGAATCTACAGCTTTCTCAGCCCATTTTTCTTCTTCATCACCTTGTTTCCATCCTAATAGTTTTTTCACAGCAGGACTTGAGAATGAAAACAGACTACTGAGACCAGTCATGTCTGGGGGTGTACTGTAAACACGAAAAATTATTTTTAAACCACAAAGTTCTGAAAACACCATATTAAAATTACATTAAAATCATTTTCTTTGCTAGTGATATCAGTAGTATTTTTGAAACTAACAAGTTTTCGTTTTGATGCAATTACACTTAGAAATAAAATGTTCTTTCATGGCATGCATTGGTTAATGTTAAATTTCATATAGTTTTATATTATTTAAACATTACATACGCTAAATTTTATAGTTATGTATAATGAGACTGAATATCAGCTTGTAACTATGTCCTTGTATGATGTCAGTTCTTTTCCTACCACCCTCTTCATTTATGAATATGTATACTATCATGAGAATGGTTAACTAGATATAACAAAAAAAGATGGCTTAAGGAACCATGAAGACTGACTGCAGGACAAAGTAAATTAGAGTTGTAGGTCATTAGCTGACATACACTCAAGCATGTAATAAACTAACATCCTATACTGAACCTGAAAAATTACTATAGTTGTTACTGAATTAATGCAATAACCTACAGTAAAAAGTTCACTTTAAAGTCTTCCAACATTTTATGTCTGTCATTTTGTTGTCAAATAAACATTACAACAAAGGACATCAAACCTTAAAAAAGGGCATAATTATAACAGAGAAAAAAAAAACACATTTATACAGTGTTTAATACATTTTACCTTACAAAAATAATCTAAAAAATTTATAAAGTTGTGGAATACTAAAATAACTCGATATGATAAGTATTTTTATAATGTATATCCATAAAGTATTAAATATTTAAATTTTTATGCAGAGAAATTTATAAACAATAATTCACAATTTTATTACGTTATAGCAAAAAAATGATGGAGTAGTAAAAGAAAGAGCTTTTCTAATGGTTTCATTAATGTAGGTATTGGTGGAATGTTCAAGTGGCAAAGTAAAAACTAATTGTTACTGTTGTTGACAATTTTAACACAATTACATATAACTGAAACTAGCAATTAACAACTTCACATTAGTGGAAAACCTAGTTTAACAATTAGACCATGATCCACCTACTTCATGGCCTAATATAATATTTGAAAAGTTATCCTTCAAGTAATTCCATTAACTCTATGTTAGAATATATGCCAAACACTCTTGTGATGTGGGGCAGACTGCTGAGTATAATAAATTAACTAATTCCACATGACATGCTTCAACAGATTACAATGTGAAACTTGCAATAATTACAAAGAGAATATGTAACTTATAATTGAATATGATATCACAATTTAATAAGAAACAGTGAAATAAACACCTTATTTAAGGATGCACATCTAATAATTAGTCACAAATTTAATATTATTTTACACAAAATCTATCAACAATGGTGAAAGGAACACCAAACATTCTCATATGGTCATCAGAAATGTCAATGGGAAATTCCCAAGAATCTCTTTTTGTATAAACTGTGGCTTATAAAATATTTTACTGCATATATATATATATATATAAATTGTTTTTTTTTTAGAGAATCTTTTGTCTCTTACTGTCCAGCTCAATTGCCAAGTTCTGGTAGTGATATTAAATGAAAAGCCTCTTTTTAATGACAAAAGAAAAAGTTGAAATGCTATTTCTACATGCTTCTGATTTTGAAATTGCAATGGACAACTTCAACTTGAAATTAAGAGGAATGTAGAACAAACCCCTGTAGTCAAAATGATTTGTTCTAATCACAGATTTTGGGCCTACTAATCTTTCATTGTCTAAGATAGGAACATCATGATTTATAGTTATTATAGACTAGATAAAAACCACCTCACTGGTGTATACTTTTAATTTCATTCCTACTGAAGTTGAAGGACTAATAAACTTACAGCACAGTAATAATGCTAAATATACTTAAATTATAGGAAACATAGCAAATATAAGTTTAATGTAAACTTCAATATCTGAAAATAAGAACAATATAATTGCAAATGTAGATCATCCTGCTATATTAGATTTTTAGCATCCAAACAAAAATGAATAAATAATGCCAATGACTGCAACAAAGGCAGTGTACATAACATTATTTTAATTTTCATTGCAACTTTATAAAAGATATATAAATTATTATAACATATACAAATTGTATTACAATTGTTTTCGCTTACATTTTTGGCAAAATTTGTAAGCCTAAATAAGTTCTTATAATGTTTAAGGAAAAACAACAATAAATTAACAGTACGTCTAAAACCTTATGTGATTTGAAACGGAAGTTAAAAATATATAAATAATATGAAGAAAATGTTTTTAACTTAACGTTTTTTTTTCTTTAATTTGGCGCCAAAGACAGTTTATCATAAGCTCACCTTATTTCTACAATTCCAGTGAATTTCCTTTTAATTTTATGAAGACAAAGGAAACCTTTGAAATATTTCTTTATTTTATATATATATATTCATTTTTAAAAGTAGCCTCAAACATTTTAATTTTATTTACGTATATTGAATAAATATTAAAATACACTTTTATAAAACTAACAAGTCATGATAATACGTTTTATTTATCTTTTAACAGATAAAGGAGTGTGAAATTTAGCATTCAATTTTGGATCGCATTGGGAACTCTTTGTGAAAACGCAATGACGACTGTAAGTCTCTAGTTTTAGCTTGGTTGAAAGTTCCCATTCACAGATCTAATGCCTAACATGCAGTACGCATGGTGGGAGGTTCAGTCGAACTCCCTATTTTTGTGATATAAAAACAATTATACTTATATAGTTATAGCGCAGCTGCTTATGGTATTTAACGTTTTCTACATAGTCTACATTCTTCTGATGAAGCATTGGTATTTTTTGGTTTGAAATAGTCGCATGCAATGGCTTCTGTTAACACTTTGTAATTGGAAATCCGAAGCCATATTGCTATGGTCAGGTTTTGGAGGCATGATTCTTTACAGTACGTATCTGTAACTTGTTGGCTATATACATGTATATTGTTACGTCTTTGGTCGTTAGTTAATTTTCCGTAAAAATCCTTTCCGAAGAATCTTTAGCGATACAAGTCCTTTCTTAAATAAACTGGTTTATTCTTTCTGAATACAACTTTGCAATACACTTAATTTTCACAGTCACGCTATAACAAACGCTACAATTCACAACGAACGGCTCAAGTGCTCGACTCAACAATATGTCTTTCTCTCTGACCGCAGTTCAATTACATATTTTTGCCGTCACGTCTTGACCGTCTTATTTGTACAAGAATACCGAAATCTAGTAAACTCCCGAGACTTCAGGAAGGGACAGGATCCTTCTAGAAGTTCATGACATGTTACTCGCGTCACGTGACTTCCGCTGTCGTAACAGTATTAATACAAGTCAAACGTATATGCAAATATTCGTTACACTGTTGACTATCACCATTGTATCCAGATCTTTAAATAACTGCGCCTTTTTCGCCAATGTCTACACAAGCTGGTTCAATTACTTTAGGACACGATTGACAAGACGAATTATCATTCTTCATTCTGTTATTACAATACAGTCTGTGATAATTTCACATTAAAAATCGTTAATATACACTCTTTATCGCTAAACGCAAAAGCACGCAGTCTGGATCTAAATAATAATTTTTGACGCATATTTATACCCTGAAAGTTTGCTAGAAAGTTCCACGCAATATTAGATATTCTGTTGTAACAATATTGAATTAAAACAATGAGAAAAATTATAAAGATTATAGAAACATGACGCAAAAATATAACGATCATTAACTCAAAGTAATTGAATATACACACTACACAATGTATGATTTGTAAACAATTACTTAAACAACCTCGCCATAAACTCTTGCTTCTAAAAATAACTAAATATGACACCCACACTATATTGTTAAGTCTCTGTTCATTTGTTAATTTTCCGTAGAAATTTTTTCCAAGAAACTTCAGCGATACAAGTCCTTTCTTAAATAAAACTAGTTTATTCTTTTTTCGTTACAAACTTTGTAATACACTTAATTTCCACAGTCATTTTAACTTAAACACACGCTATAATTCACAACGATTCACGTGCTTTAGTTACAGTGCCTACCACCTGCTTGACTCAACTATCCATGTCTATATCTTCAATCTTTCTATCTGCGATTCCAATTCCAATTAATTGCCTTGCTTTATCTGGTGTGCTTATATACAGGAATACAGGGCATCTAGTAAATACTAGATTATTTGTATGTTCCCCGATCCTTCTAGAAACTCATCACGTGTTACCAGAGTCACGTGACTTCTGCTGTCGTAACAATATAAACTATCTAAATCATAATGCTTGCACTAAACTTAAACAGCAGTTTATACTTAAGAGCTACACATGCTTTTAAACACAAGCAAGCTTCATTGTTTCACGGAAATCGAACTATAAACTGATTGTGGGATGAGATTTAAGCATTTTTGTAGGTTTTATTTTCGTAAGAGGAAGGAGCTGAGAGTTGTATTAATATTAAACCCATTTGAAAATTACCTACTATACCAGTAATAGTCTGGCTCGCGAAACTACACAGTATATGATATATAAGCTAGACCTTTTACAATTCTTACTGAACAGAATAAAGTGCCTACATGAGACTGATTGCAGCAATATACGAATCTTTTTTTTGCCAGCAAAAGAAAAGGAATGGCATGTGATCACTAAGATACAGTACTATATAGCTTTGCTGCTTTAGTATCTAATATAACCTTTAACATGCAATTAAAATAGCTACCTTATCTTGTGCTATGCATATTTCAGGTGTTTTAAATTACAAAGTTTGTGTTTTATCCATGAATACTTATATCTATACATGATATTATAAAGTTTATCTATATATATAGATAAGTACAACAACAATCTTTACTAAAGATTTTATGTATTATATAAACTACACTGTTAGATTAGAACTATATACTGGTCGCTTCTTTCAAATTGCTATATATTTTTGTTTTCAGACACTGCTAGTGTTGGTGATGAAAGTGAAGCTTGTCAGGTTGAAACTAGTGAGCTATATTATTTTGTTGATGATACTGATAATATGCAAACTGGTTTAGTTGAGTCTCAAACTGCTTTGAGCATTGACAACTTCATTCTTCTTGGACAATCATTATCGCACTGCACTACAGCAATCATGCATTTAGCAGAGGTTTGTCTTGCTATATTCTGTAGTCACTGAGCCATGCATTGACATTGGCAATTTATCGACACCAACATCACTTGATGAAAAATGCTAATCTATTAGTAATCTATCAAATGCTGAAACGTATTCCTATCTTTATAAGCAGGTGGCACCACCACCAAATGTTTTCCTATCACATTTTCTCATGGTGTAACTACAAGTTTAAAATAGCTTGGCTTGAAAAATATTCATGGTTATTATACAGACGAAATTGGATAGCATTTTTGTGGTCCATATGCTACCCTTCTTCTAGTGCATAGTCAACATGATAAAGTAGTACTTGTCAACAAATCACTTAAAAACTGGGTAAAAATTAGTGATACTTTAAGCAACCATTCTAAATCTGTTTGTCATCGTGATTCTATGCAGGCTGCTAATGCTTTGAAAGCTTCCATCGAATGTCCATCATCCAGTAGAATTGATATTATTGCCAACAATGCCCTTCAATCACATATAACTCAAAATAAACACATATTTCATCAAATTGTTCGTGCCATTCTGTTTTTAGGAAAACAAAACGTGCCATTTCATGGTGATACCAAAGATGTAAATTATTCCAAACATCCTGGCAATTTTTCTGGTCTTACTGAAATATTATACTGAAAATGGTGAATTACTGAGAGCTCATTTGTATCATTCGAAGGGAAAAAATCCTACATATTTATCTCCCTGCTAACAAGATGACATTATCAATGTCATAGGATGTGATTTAATTCAAGTAAAAATTATTCATGAAGTAAAAATAGTTGGATTCTACTATGTTCTTATTGATGAAATGTCTTCTCCCAATGTGGAGCACTTACGAATATGTCTCCACTTTCTAGTTGACAACTGTATAATTAAGGAAGAATGTATTGGCTTTATTCAGCTACCGAGGGCCAGAGCAACAAATATTATATGTGCAATTATAAAGTTGCTGACTGATGTTGGATTATCTCTAAATGAACTGCGTAGTCAAGGATATGATTGAGTACTCACCATGGCTTGAAAAAGGTCTGGTGTCCAAAAATAAATTCGGGATATGCAAAGCAAAACCTTGTATGCTCATTCCGTGGATCATTCACTTTATCTTGCTATTATAAATTCCAAATAAACTCAAAACATGTAATTGATAAACTTAACAAAGATATTAGTGTGAGACTTATATTTTTAAACACTACATTCTTAAGCACATTAAGGATTTACAAGGATGTATAAAAGTAGTATTCCAACCGCACTATATTCGCCATTATATAAATATATGTTATTAAGTATCTGCTTGTTTGTTAATTTCCGGTATAAATTCTTTCTGAGGAACTACAGCGATACAAGTCCCTTCTTGATTAAAACTAGTTTACTCTTTTTCGATACAACTTTGTAATACACAGAATTTCCATAGTCACTTTAAACTTAACAACCTGTTATGTCTCTGTTTGTTTTTTAATTTCCCGTAGAAATTGTTCCCGAGAAACTTCAGCGATACAAGTCCTTTCCTAAATAAAACTAGTTTATTCTTTCTCAATACAACTTTGCAATAGACTTAATTTCCACAATCACTTTAACTTGAACACACGCTATAATTCACAACAAACGATTCACGCACTTTATTTACTACAGTGCTTGACTCATTTGTCCATCTCTATCTCTGCCTGTCTGCAATTCAATTCCGAATAATTAATTTTGCTTTATCTGGCACATTTATATACAAAAGTAGAGGGCGTGTAGAAAAGACCAGAGTTGCCACGAACAGAAATGATCCTTCTAGAATATCATGGCGTGTTACTAGCATCACGTGACTTTCGCTGTCGTAACACTGCCCCTTCCTTAGTATTGTTCGTCCTGAACAATAGCCACTTACCTTAAACCAATAGATAATTAACAATAATTTAACTAAATGTACAGAATTTACAAACACTACAAACACAAAATTAAAATATATCAAAGTCTCTTAATCTTACGGGACCTATCTTCTTCCATACTGGTCTCCATCTCTTTGGCTTCTGCTTCATGTGGGGTTCATCTGCTCCATTGGGAATTGTCCTATTATTGGTAACAGTCACATCAGTGGTAGTAAC